ACCATATTCGGATATTTCTTGCATTGTTTTAGTGCAAGATTAAACAAACGTCTTTCCTAAGCAATTGTTTCTATGCTATCCTAGAAATTTTGGGATGTGATTTCTAAGATTGTCCCTCAACACCTACTAATTATGTCATTCCACACAAGAAAAGTCTGCAGTATACTTCATTGTGTATCTCTTTATTTCAGCTTTAAGGAACTCTGCAAGGTCATTTCTAGGTTCACTTCAGAATTACTGTTTGGGCCTGATGGTAGTGGCCCATGCCTTTGGTCACTCGGGAGGCAGGGGCAGGTGGATCTCTGTGAGTTCAAGGCCAGCCTGGTCTACAGAGAGAGTTCCAGGATAGGCTCCAAAGCTACACAGCAAAACCCTGTCTCGAAAATCAAACAAACAAACAAAAGTGTAATAGAATTTGGAGGAGTGTTTAGGGGAAGGGTTATTATTTCTTTCTTGGGTTGAGTGAGACTCAAAAGTGCATGGAAAGGCTTTTAGGAAATGATGAGATGGACTGGCTGTACAGAATGAAATAGCAAAGGGTTTCAGGTGAAAAACCTTTCCTGAGATTGTGGAGAGGAAAACATGTATGTGTTCTTTCTTGGCAGTTTCTAGCAGGAAATGTCAGTCGTGCTGCCTTTTGGCAGAGTTGTCTAGCCTGCAGATCCCTCCACGGAGTAGCAGCATCATCAGGGATCTTTACCAGCATAAGTTGGGCAAAGGCAGCTGGCCATCACTACAGCAGGTGAGATGTTTTCCTGCCTGAGGTGCTCAAAGGTTTTCAACTATTGCAGGCTCTCACTAGATAATAAATTGTTTCAGCAGATTGGCAAAATGGTCAGGTCATCCAGCTATGATGACTGGCCTACTGAATACTCAGTCAAGGAGAAAAAGTTTTACCCTGTAAACATCCCAGCTGGAATACATTCTGCCCTCTTGTTTCTAGAATCAGCTCACATGCATTGCAGATATTCCATAGCATAAGGCTAGGGAAGGACTTAATATTAATGCTTATCCATGAAGGAGCCAGAGAGTCAAAGTTTACCCAGGACTTGAATTTAATTTTTATTTATGTTTTTGAGACAAGATCTCACTATGTAGCCTTGACTTGCCTGGATCTCTGGATGTAGACCTGGCTGGCTTCATTCTCACAGAAATGTACCTTCTGAATCCTGACATGAATTTTAATTCATTGAGTTCAGATTCATTCTATTTTCTTTGTATTAGGGTCTCCAGAAATCCTTTTTGCACTCTCTGGCTTCTTACCGGGTATTCCAAAAAGCTGCCCCCTTTGACAGAAGGACTACATCCTTGGCATGGCACCCGACTCATCCCAGTACCCTGGCTGTGGGCTCCAAAGGGGGAGACATCATGATCTGGAACTTTGACATAAAGGACAAACCTGTCTTCATTAAAGGGGTAAGTGGTTCCAGTTGCCAGATGGTTGCACTCTAAAACTGTTTATTGGAGGAATGGAAGGAATGTTGATACCTAGGAGCAAGATGGTTGATTGAAAGCAAAAATGAGTGGGTGTTTTTAAGCTTATAAATGGTAACAAAACTCAAATATGTTTTGAATGCTGGCCTTTAAAATATTAAAATGTATAGACTAATCATTCATACAGTCTGTATTCCTTCTTCCTCCTCCTCTTTTTCTTCTTCCTAATCTTTTTTTGAGATAGAGTTTCACTATGTAGCACTGACTGGCCCGAGAAGCACTATGTAGACCAGACTTGTCTGGAATTCACAGAGATCTGCCTGCCTCAGCCATGCCCTTTTGTATCCCTTCTAACTTAATCTCATTTTGCCTGTCTTTCCTGTGTTAGTTTTTCATTACTCTAACAGTACCTGAGAGAAATGACTTAAAGGGAAAAAGACAGTTGTGGAGGTTTCATTCCATGCTTGATGGCTTTAGTTTATCTGGGCATCTGAGCATCATGGTAGAAGAGTATTGTAGAGCAGAGATGCTCATCTCAACAGTCAGGAAGCAGAGAGACATAGATTGTAATTGTCTGAGGTAAGTGATGCCCTTGAAATGTATGTCCCCCAGTGGCCTGCTTCCTCCAACCAGACCCCATGTTCTACTAGCCCATTTAGTTTGAAACCCATCGATAATTTTTTTCGTTAGCCAAGTTTTTGTAAGATTTTAAAATTTATTTTATATACCAACCATAGTTTCCCTTCCCTCCTCTCCTCCTGTTCTCACCCCCCCCCACCTCCTTTCTACACCACCCTCCATATCCTCTCCTCAGAAAGGATAAGACCTCCCGTGGGAGTCAGCAAAGCATGGCATATCAGATTGAGGCAGGACTAAGCTCCTCCCTGCTGCATCAAGGCTGAGGAGATGTCCCACCACAGGGAATAGGTTCTAGAAAGCCAGCTCATGTACCAGGGATAGATCCTGGTCCCACTGCTAGGGGCCCCACAAATAGACCAAGCTATACAACTGTCACCCACATGCAGAGGGCCTAGGTTGGTCCAATGCAGGCTTCTTAGCTATGGGTCTGGAGTCTATGAGTTCTGGTCAACTGTCCCTGTAGAAACCCATTAGTAAATTCAAGCAGTTATGCAGTTAGCCTCCTCATGATGTAGGTACCTTTCAGTGCCATCAGCTGGAAATCAGACCTTCAAAAAATGAGCCTTGGTGGGGTGAGCACAGCTCATGGCACTTCCTGTGGTTCAGGTGTACCACCTACTTCTGTTCCTCTTGTTTTTCTCTTTGGCTGGGGTTACTTTACTATAGTTTTTTTGTGACTGGCTCCCACTTATAGTTCAAGTCTCCGCTTAATCTGCCCTTTACTTTTTAAAATATTTACTTATTATTTTTGTGTATGAATGCTTTCCTGCATATATGTATGTGTACCATATGAATACCTGGTGCCTTCAGAGGCCAGAAGTGGGCATCAGATTCTTTGGAACTGGAGTTATAGATGGCTGTGGGCTGCTGTATGAGTGCCAAGAACCAAACCTGGGTCTTCTGCAATAGCAGCAAGTGCTGTTAAACAGCCCAGCCATCCCTCTAGCTCCTAATCTGCCTTTTAATTATTCAGTTATTTATTTTTGAAACAGGGTTTTGTTATTATAGCTTTGGCTGGCCTAGAACTATGTAGACCAAGTTTGCCTTGAATTCACAAAGATCCATCTGCCTTTGCCTCAAGAGTGCTGGTGTGAAAGGCATACACCACTGCCCTGGCTTGATTTGCCTAGTTAAAGAGGAAGTAGCCTCCACCCCACCCAATCATTCCCAGATAACTGCCCTGCTTAACATGTCCCCCAAAAATTTATCAGTATTTGAAATAATGTATTTCCCTATCTCTGCCCATTGGAAAATAATCATGATGGCAGGGACCTCATCTTTCTGCTTAATCACCATATTCTCAGGGCCTAGAACAGCCTTTGGCCTAGAACAGCTGCTTTGTATTTGTTGAATGAATGAGGGGCTTGAAGTACAGCTATACAAAGGGATATAAAACAACTATCAAAGCCAATGCCAAATGTTCTAGAACACAAAAGAAGAGCCCCTGTGAGTTAGAGATGATGATGAAGGCTTCATGGATGACTGAAGAACAATAGTTAAATAATCAGGAGAGAGCCAGGCAGTGGTGGTGCATGCCTTTAGTCCAGCATTCAGGAGGGAGAGGCATGCAATCTCTCTGAGTTCTAGATCAGCCTGGTCTGCAAAGCTACACAGAGAAACCCTGTCTCAAAAAACAAAAACAAATCAGAGAATGAGGAAAGGTATGGTGCTGTCAGATGTCCTGCAAAACTTGAAGATTAGGTGTAGTTTTTAGGTGTTTTATTGTTTCACCACCTGCCCTTGCTTTTATTGTTAGGACTCAAAGGCAAGCCTTCTACCACAAAATTACATCTTAAGTTTTTATTGTTTACTTTGTATTTGTTTGGTTCCATTTGGGGGTTTTTGTTGTTGTTTGTTTGTTTTTGTTTTATTTGTTTATCTTATTTATTTTTTTGTGACAGAGTTTCTCTGTAGCTTTTGAGCTTGTCCTGGAAGTATCTCTGTAGATCAGGCTAGCCTCTAACTCAGAAATCCTCCTGCCTCTGCCTCCCAAGTGCTGGGATTAAAGATGTGCCCCACTACTGCCTAGCCCATTTGGGGTTTTGTTTGTTTTGAGACAAGGTTTTACTGTGTAGCTCCAGCTGGCCTGGAACTTTCTATTTAGAACAGGCTGGCCTTGAACTCACTGAGATTGCCTACTTCCTTTTCATGAGTACTGGAGTTAAAGGTATGTGTCACCCTACCTGGCTATTTGATTTGTTGGAATAAGGGGTCTCATTTTAGCTCAGGCTGGCCTTGAACTTCCTATGTAGCTAAAGATGACTTTGAATTCCTGATGGTTCTCCTGTATCCATCTCTCAAGTGTGGAATTATTGATGTGTGCTACCATGCTCACCAGTCCACTTAGGAATAGTCTAAGATGCTAAGGTTTATCTTTAGTTGCTGAAATATTGGCTCTCTAGGACATTTACCTTTTCTGGCTGGTAGCTAACATTGGAGAGTTGTAATATAAAGAGTGACTTTCTAATTTTAGAACTTAAGTTAAAAAAATAAATAAAAAAAACTCCATAGTCCTCAAGAAGTCAAATAGGTTGGGAATGGGGAGTATATTATTAGTAGTAAAGAGACTATTTAAATGCAAAAATGTAGGTCCTGAATTTTTGGATATGATTTTTTTTTCCTTTTTCAAATAAAGCCTGGATATAAGGTATCTATATGTGCTGTATAGTTTTTGTTTTGTTTATTTGGTTTGAATTTTCTTTTTCTTTTTTCTTTTAAACTAAAACAGCTGACAATTTTATTTTTATTTTTCACAATATAAGTGAGAAATACACTTTTTTACCCCACTTTTCCCCTCCAAAACTATTCTCTGTTAGGAAGAGGGAAGCCTTCCTTGTCATGCAGCTAGAAAACACTCAGGCTCAGCACTGTGACCTCCTGGTGAAACAAAATAAGAAATACAAAACTGATAGAGAGCCTTTCTGCTTTTATCTGTCTCGAGCCATGCCAGGCCGAGTGGGCACCATCATAGGACAAGCAGGAGGTCTCATCATTGGAGGCGCAGGCATCATGGGTATGTGACTACCCATGGGTGGTCTCATTCCAGAAGCAGGTCCTACAGGCATCATCCCAGGAGCAGTGGGGGGCATCATTGGCATCATGGGAGGGCCTCTCATGTGGGGTGCATGCATCATTCCAGGATAAGGAGGACCCGGGAGACTGTGGGGACGTAGGTTCGTGGACCCGGCATGAAGAGAAGCAGAGAATGGAGCTGGAGGGGCCTTTCCTTGTTGAAATGCAGCCATTGTTTTGTCAGTCAGGCTCTGGACCTGCTTTTCCATCCATTTCTGATAATAGTCTTTCACATACTCTTTGTGTTTCCAACCTCTGCAGTGTGGTGTCTTCCTCACAGATGGAGAATCATGGGTAAGATACGTATCACAGTAGTCACAATAAAACTTAGGCATGTTGCTCCACAGGCCTTTGGCTACCATGGATTTTCTTTTCTTTCTTTCTTTTTTTTAAGTCAGGGTCTTACTATGTAGTCCTTGATGGCTTGAAACTTGTTATATAGACCAGGCTAGCCTAAAACTCACAGAGATCCACCTGCCTCTGTGTTCAGAGTGGTGGAATTAAAGGCATGTACTGTCATGCCCAGCTATTACTATTTGAGGTCAGATCTGCTAGTAGTCTACACTGGCCTTGAATCCCCTCCTCTTCCTACCTTCTAATTTTAAAAAGTTTCAAAGTGGATGTAATATCAAAGTACCATTTTTAGAATTGTGTTTGTTTGTGGGTTTGCTTTTTCAAGACGAGGTTTCTTTGTCTAACAGTCCTGGATGTCCTAGAACTTACTCTGTAAACAGGCTGGCCTCGAACTCATTGAGATCCACCTGGCTCTGCTTCCTGAGTGCTGGGATTAAAGGCATTTGCCCAGCTTTAAAATTGTCTTTAATTATCTTCAAATACATATAAAAAAATTCCTTAGTAACCACTTTATTTTATTTTTTGAGACAAGGTCTCAATATGTTGCACTGGCTGGTGTTAAACTTCTAGGTTCAAGTGATTCCTAAATAGCTGAGGCTTGGACTAGCTCACTGTGTGTAGCTTAATATTGGCATTAGGTAACTAGTCTTCAGCGATCTTAAATAATTTTTGTGGCTAAATAAGATAAAGCATGCATCTGAACTTGCTTACATTCTAGCTTAACCATTTCTCCAACTCGTTTAGAATTGGACTAGGTGAAGTTGTATCCCAGATGAGGCTTCTTTAAATGGAGGCGTTAGGAAGCAGCTCATCAGGGAGGCCAGCATGGACAGGTGTGGTAGATCAGGAGTCAAGATCTGAAACTGGTGTCAAGGAGACAAGTAGAGAATTTAGAAGAAAGATAGCCAGGAGTGCTGAGGAAAGGTTATGCAGATCTCTTGCCCTCTCAAGGAGTAGGTAACAAAGAAGGGGAAATTTAAATTTAAGCCAGAACAAAGAGTTCTGGCAGGAGACTTTTCCTCCCAGGAATCAAGGACATGTGAATACAGAAATGTGGTTATGCCTGGAGGTGATAAATAGTAAGTCTAAAATATTCTAGGGAACAGCATCCTGACTAAAAGGAGACTGACAGCTGCTTTGAGCTTGTGCCAGACTGAGCCTGCCTTTGTTTCCACACACTCCTCCCCCACTTTTTTTTTTTCTTTTTGTAGAAGAGGGTGTTGAAGAGCTCCACATATGCTAAGCATACCTCTATCCCTGAGCCGCACCCCCTAGTCCCCTGTATCACCTTTTATTATACATATTATACATATATATTATTGTATGTGCATAAAACTAAAGTTTCCTTACACTGCCATGGAGGTTGCTTTGAGCATTTGTGCATCACAGGGAGCTAGCTTGGAGAAGAGAAAAGGTACACTGGTGTTTGTTTACTCCCCAGATGCTGGCAGAAAGTTGACTTGAGAACAGTTACAGGGTAATTGCAGTCACTTCAGTGATCTTGGCTCTGATCTTAATATCTTTCAAACACCTTGTGAGGAACTATCCATTACATTTTCAAAATAAAGAAATCTTCCATGTATTCTTGTAAAACTTATATCCATTTTAAAATTTAGGTAATAGAAGTTTAAAGATTTGAGTAAATACCCAAAATCTCCATTTTGAACATTTTTTTGTACGAATATACACTATTATACACATCCATTCATTTCTTCTAGTATTAGCACATATATATTCTATCATAGAATGTTGTGGTTAACTTATTATGTCACATATTTCCCCAGAATGTCATACTACACTAGTACCCAGGTTGGCCTTGAACTCACTGTGTAAGGATGACCTTGGACTTCTGATCCTTCCTGCTTCACCTGGGATTGCAAGCATGTGTCATCATACCTGGCTCTGTAATTTTAATTTCCTTCCTTCCTTCCTTCTTTCCTTCCTTCCTTCCTGTTTCTTTTTCTTCTTCCTCCTCCTCTTCTCCTCCTCCTCTTCTTCTTGTCAGTGCCTTTTGTTTTAGTATCAGTGTAATGCTGACCTCATAAAATGAGTTGGGAAGTACTCTCTCTGCGTTAGTTTTCTAGAATCGGTAGAATTGGTACTATTTCATGTGTGTGTGTGTGTGTGTGTGTGTGTGTGTGTGTGTGTGTGTGTGTATGCATGTGTATGTGCATATACATACACATGCATATGGATGCTCACTCACATATGTGTGGAAGCTGGAAGTCACCCTTGGGTGTCTTCCTCAGTCACTCTCCACTTTAATTTTTGAGGCATAGTCTTTCACTGAACCAGGAGTTCACCAATGTGGCTAGGGTGGTGGTAACAAGTTCAGAGCTACATAATGGACTTTATCTCAAAAAGAAAAAAAAAAAAGATAACAACAACAACAAATCCCCCCCCAAAAAACTAATATTAAATCCATTTTTTTCTATTCCTGCTCCTGTCTTTCTATCCCTATAGATTAATTTATATTTTCTTGAAATTTCTTATTTTTTGTTTTTTCAAGACAGAGTCTCTCTATGTAGTTCTGGCTGTCCTGGAACTAGCTCTCTGTAGACCAGGCTGGCCTTGAACTCAGATCCACCTGCCTCTGCCTCCTGAGTGCTGGAATTTAAAGGTGTATGCCACTGTGCCCAGCTGAAATTTCTTAGATAGTCATAGAAAATATGCTCTTGATTTTTTGGTTTAGCTGTTTTTACTCTATTTGAGATGCATCTACATTTTTATATGTGTCCATATTTTTTCTTTTCCTTCCTGAGTAATGTTTCATTATAATACATTATAATTTGTCCATTATCTATTGAAGAATGTTTATATTTTTTCAGTTTTTTATTATACAAACAAAAGTGCTATGAATGAATATTCACGTATAGTATTTATATGGAAATATTTCTTTTCTTTAGTAACTACTTTGGACTGGAATGGCTGGGTTTAGTGTGGAAATCTTTTATATATGTTCTTGAGACCAGGTGTCTCTTATAGCTCAAGCTGGAATTGAACCAACAGTCCTAAGCCAACTATAGTGTGGGAATCCAACCCCTTCTGATCTCCTGTCACCAGGATGCATGTGGTACACATACGTTCATGTAGACAAAGCACTCATATGCATGAAAATAAAACAAACCAGTCTAAAAAAATGTACATTATTAAACAGTGGAGGCTGGATTGTAGCTTAGTAAGAGTAGCTTAGCATATACAAGACCTGTGATTCAATGCCCCATCACCCCTGCACACCTGTAAAAGATTCCCCCTCTATAGTTGGCCTCAGGACTGTTGGTTCAAGACCAGCTTGAACTATACAGAGACACCTAGTTTCAAAATACAAATACCATACATATATGTTTCTACTCCTTTTTTGAATATTTTGTATACTGATGCAAACTAAAGTTACTTTTGTCATATTGCACTATGTGTTTCTACTTCTGGTTGAGATTTTTTTATATATTGTCACAATTTCATGTTTTTGTTTTTTCGAGACAGGGTTTCTCTGTGGCTTTGGAACCTGTCCTGGAACTCACTCTGTAGACCAGGCTGGCCTCAAACTCATGCCTCCCGAGTGTTGGGACTAAAGGTGTGCGCCACCAACGCCTGGCTTATTGTCACAATTTCAAGATCATTGTCTTTATACTGTACATCTGTTTGCAGATTGTTTATTTTTATAATGTGAAACTTTAGTCTTTAAGCTATATAGGTTATTAAGAATTACAGGTTTGGGTGGTAGTGGCACGAGCCTTTAGTCCTAGCACTTGGAAGGCAAAGGCAGCTGGATCTCTGTGAGTTCAAGGTCAGCCTGATCTACAGAATGAGTTCCAGGACAGCCAAAGAGCTGTTACACAGAGAAACCTTGTCTTGAAAAACTTAAAAAAAAAAAAAAAAAAAAAGGACAGGTTTAAAAAAAAAAAGAACTATAGGTTAATAGTCACCCATATTTGTAATTCTTGTAGTTAGTTAGGTTTTCTAGATGTACAAAAGATGTATCCCATATAGATAGTAAACTTCAAACACTCCAAAGATTTACAGAATATGGCATTTAAATGTTTTAATAACTTAGAATTTTGTTGATGTGAGACAGGACTCCTCCTGGCAGCACTAATCTACTCCTGAGAGAATGATGGGCACTGAAGACATTCCATATGGAGCTTGTTTTCTTCTTGGCAAAAGTGGCCTATTGGGCAAAAAACTGCCCTTGCCTCAACTGTTGACAGTAAGCATGCTGTCTAATCCAGACAAACAGGATACATGGAATCTTGCCAAGACAGGATAGGACAGTCTTTCAAATTTTCCTGCTTCTGAAAACTATCTGTTAGATATTCTAGGCCTATAGCCAAAGTTGGATGCCCCAACGGTTGCAGAGAAACTTTGGGTGTGTCCAGGCAGCCAGGTGTCTGTCATTTCTAGAGTGTTACAAGTTGCTTGCTTGCACTTCCTGCTTATTCAGGTAATATTACTTCTTAGGTCTTTGATGGGATTGAAGACTAGATAGCTATAGTTAAAATCCTCTCATACCTTAGCTAAGGCCATATTAGGTATAAGACATGGACTCTTCAGGATAGGACAGCTATTGGAGTAATCTCTATAATTTGCCAATTACCATTTGTCTAGACATTTAGAATGTATTTCTTGCTTGATGTTCTTGTTGATTGTAGTTTCATTTTTGTTTGTGTTATTACCTTTTTTTTTTTCTTCTGGACACTACTTAATAGTTGTTCTTATTGTATATAGTTTTATGTTAGGATTGGAAGCTTCTTAATTAGAAAAAAAGGAAAGATGGTGGGAGCTCAATATGTTTAGCCAATGACATTTAGGGTGACTAGCCCTTTGGACATGGTTTTCTCCTATATGTGACCAGATAAGAAATGAGGTGGGGAGGTTCTAACCTCCTCCCCCACCCCTACCCCATGTCTGTCTGTCTGGCTCTCTCTCTCCCTCTCTCTCTCTCAGAAGTGGAAGGCTTCCTGATGTGTTTGTAACCTAATCCAGCCCTTTCCCTATCCTTTCCTGGTGGACGGAGAGGT